CTAATAAATCATGAGTTGTATTTAATTAAATATGTACTTTATTAGCATTGATTTTTCTTTAAAATCAAATAAAATGATTTATCAATGGCAAAGCCTATAAAAGGGAAAATAAAATAACTAAAATAACATTTAATTTCATTTAAGCCGATAAAAATACAGCTAAAATTGGTTTGAAAATTGAATGATGAATTGCTGGAAAATTCTGTCCTAATACAAGTAAAATAATAAAATAATAATAATGACAACGATGAATGCAAATTCTCCTAATAAAAATTATTTTTTTGAGTATGTTTGCAGTAAATTAAAATAGTGCATCAATGGCAAAATCCACAATCATACAAATAAAGCAGTTTTAATTAAAATAATCTACACATATTTACATGTTTATACAGTATATGCTATATGTATATATACACACATATATACATACATACATTGACAATGTTATTGTCAAATATCATAAAAATTATATATTTTACATAATACATTTTGATTTCATTTATATGTAAAATCCAACAAATAATGCATCAATGGGGCACATTCTATTAAAGATTATGCTACATATGCTATGGTGCTTGTATTTCATTTCATTCAGAATACAATAACAACATATCACTGGGGCAAGAAAAGAAGAATAATCAAATAAATCATGAAAATATTTCATTTAATTTCATCATAAGTCAATAATCGTCAAATAGTCATTTTATTGATGCGTGTGCATAAAAATGGAAAAACACAAAAAATAAAAATAAACATGCCGGTGAATATATTGGAGGATAAACACGACACGTACTGCACACGTCGTCATTTGCAATTCAAAGAGAGGAGCGGAAATGCAGGTTCTACATAATTATCATCATCAACCCGGTGCAGTCATGGGATTTGCCTGTGTCGATTTGAGCGCATGCCGGCGCTCTCCTGAGGACTCCCGCAGTGTCGTACACCCCCCATGCCGACCGTCCCCCCCGACTGCGCCCAATGACTCGCTGGTGCTGGCTTTAAAAGAGTCATTTAAAGCCAGTCAGCAGCTTTTGTCATTAGCTCACCATGTGCAATGATCTAGGGAAAATGAGACATTCTGTGTCTGTGTGTGCGCGTGTGTGTTCAAACATTTTGCCGAACTTGAAAATGGTTGTAACTGCTAAATAATGCATTGCAAGTATTGACACCGCTTTTAAGAAAACATGCAAAATGCATGCGCCCTTTGTGTCTCTCGAGCATGAGAGCAAATTGAACATAGTAATGAGCTAATGGGTTCCTTTTTTTATGACATTGTAGTTCATAAACAATTTTTGGGGGGATGGTGGGACATCAGTGCTTTAAAATATATGCAGTTAATCCCTTTACTCTTGCTGAACCCGAGCTCCAGTTTTAGATTACAAACAAGTTCAATGAAGCACAATAGCCAAGTATTTCATGAGGTGTGACCAAAATTATATTCTGTATGTTTTTATAAAAGTGTATTCATATACCTACAAGCATATATTCTTTATCCTCTGTGAAAAATGACAAATCTTACGGCAACGTACTGAATCACAGCTGTTGTGTAACTATTCTTCATTTGTGTCTGCATGACGACATTACTCTGCACCCCCCCCTCTGCCCGGTGGCCAAGGCAGGTACACCAGAAGGAGCAGCACGATGAATTGAATTGAAACCTGAAATCACGAAGCATAAACTCTTTAATTCTTTACATTTTGTTGAAATATTTCATCACGCCATTTTGCAAAACCCATGACCCCCCCCCCCCCCCCGCCCATTGGGACGAGGGCTCCAGTTTTAGATTACAAACAAGTTCAATGAAGCACAATTGTCAAGTATTTCATGAGGTTTGACCAACATTATATTCTGTATGTTTTTATAAAAGCGTATTCATATACCTACAAGCATATATTCTTTATCCTCTGTGAAAAATGACAAATCTTACGGCAACGTACTGAATCACAGCTGTTGTGTAACTATTCTTCATTTGTGTCTGCATGACGACATTACTCTGCACCCCCCCCTCTGCCCGGTGGCCAAGGCAGGGGTTGACTTCCATTACAAGCAGCCTTGCTTCAGTTTCACCGGAACCAACACGTCATTTTCTGCTATTGTAGAAAGGGTTCTGTCAGTCGTCATCTGTACCTGTGGGTAAAAAACAAAAAACAAAAAACAAAAAACAAAAAAGGACGTTTCGCTTCTCTCACAGAAGCTTCGTCAGCGGTAGACAACCCTGGGCATCGGTGCACTCTGCAATCTCACGCATGCACCCTCTGTCACCCTCCCTGCCCTTAAAGCTCCATCCCCCTTAACTGCAGTCATAACATTCCTGAATATGTGACCGACTGCGGTGTTGTCTTCCATTACAAGCAGCTTTGCTTCGGTTTCACCGGAACCAACACGTCATTTTCTGCTATTTGTAGTTTACTCTTACTCGAGTGTTATTTATACTACTTGCATTGATTTAAACCATCATCAAATTTACTGTGTAAGTATACACAGTATATGACGTGCATGTTTTTGGAATGTGGGTGGAAACCAGAGTACCCGGAGAAAACCCACGCAGGCACAGAGACAATATGCAAACTCCATTCAGGAAGGCCGGGGCCCGGAATCCCAACACATTAAACTGTCAATAAGCTGTTAAGGATTTAAAAAAAAAAAACAAAAAACAAAAAAAAAACTTTGTTTCCTTTTGTCTTCAGTCAGGATAAAAGTAACTATGGAGAAAACGTGAATTTTTGTCACCAACATGGGGAATAATAACAAATGAGATTTACATCCTTGAGCCATCCTGTCACCTGAACGCTTCGGTCAGGACAAAACAGTGCCAAAAGTGCACATATAAACGGTTTACAGTGAGAGGTGATAGTGAGAAGAGAAAAAGGAGAACAAATATTTGGCTTGAACGGAAACATGTTTGGGTTTCGTCCCTGTTGTCCAAAGTCCAAAAATCCTGAAATCCCTGTCAATAGTCAGGAGAAAAGTAACTATGGAGAAAACGTGAATCTTTGTCACCAACATGGGGAATAATAACTCGAGACTTACATCCTTGAGCCATCCTGTCACCTGAACGCTTCGGTCAGGACAAAACAGTGCCAAAAGTGCACATATAAACAGTTTACAGTGAGAGGTGATAGTGAGAAGAGAAAAAGGAGAACAAATATTTGGCTTGAACGGAAACATGTTTGGGTTTCGTCCCTGTTGTCCAAAGTCCAAAAATCCTGAAATCCCTGTCAAACTATGCCAGCCGAAACCCTCACAGGTGTGCAACGACCTTCGATTCTCTCACGTGCTTCTATTTTGTGGACCAGGAAAGAGATGCCAGATGGCCCCGATTGTTGGTATGTGTGTACATCTTTAAATATCCAAATGGTTTAACATTTACAATAGTCAGGGCAGGATAAATCCCACACCAAAGGATAATCACTCAGGAGGTGTCCAGTATTTGGGCCTTTGCTGACTTTGAACACAAGGGGGTGAAAAATGCTTCTTTTAAACATTGAACACCTTTAATATTCATGACTGTCAGGCTGAATGTTTACAAAGCAGATTGGAGGTGTGCAAAAAAAAAAAAATCACCCTGAACCAAATCCACACTACTGGATAATCCCTCAGGATCACCTTTGGAAAAATCTCATCCCACACCACACGATAATAGCTCGGGTCATCTTTTCAAAATTTACTCTAAACATACACCTCACACCACAGGATAATCCAATTATCATACACATAACTGGGACATTAGTAAATGTGATTGAAATGGACGGAAAATTGT